CAGCGTGAATCCGGGGAGCTGAAACTGAAGGCGCCTGGAGAGAAACGTTTAGAAGACTAGACTTTGGGGCTAGGCAGGATCCTTCTTTACCTGTCCAAGAAATGCGCGCCTTGGACTGGTTATTTGGGGAATTTATGGTTCGGAGAAACGCTCACCACTGTTCCTACACAGGCTCACTACGCATGCGCGACCAACGGTTTGTGGGCGCGTAGGGCCGAGGCGGAAGTGAGAGTGGGCGGAGCCTACAGCGGTCCCTTCTTCGGGCCAAGCACTTCATCCCACGTGTTCCTTCTACGAGCAAGCTGTGGGCGCCGCTGCCAGCAGGCTGGGTGTGCCTGACGCCTGCGGTTTCCTGTGGAGGAAGTGGCTGCGATGCTGAGCTCCTCCGAGGCCTGGGCAGGGGAGATCCCGCCACCACCCTTGGTCTCCAGATACTTACACTTCTATGGGTCACTGTTGTTGGGGATTCCCTAAACGCCTCCTCTAGGTACCGAACTGTTTCTACTCTTTCAAGGAGTGTTAAAGCCGTTCCCAGCTTCCTCAACCCGTTAGCATGTTCCGTGCTCCTGGCACCAACACCCCTCCCAGGCCTGGGATGCAGCCTCCTGTCCCTGCAATACCCCAGTATTGTCCTCAGTGACCCACTCTCCACTCCCTCGAGGATCAGAGTTAGATTTCCCCGAGTCTGGCACCCTCCCCTCCAGCTACCCTCATTTAGGATACTCAGTGGACCGAAGTATTTGCCCTGTCTTCAATTACTAGAGCCTCTGAACCAGAGTTCCCCTGACTCCACTTGAAACCCCAATGCCTGCTGTATTGAGTTGCACAAAACTGCCAAGCACTGCTCCAGAGCTATGTTACCCAGTACTCTACCCCTCTTTTACAGATGAGGAAGCATGGACAGGTCGTCAATAATTTGCCTGGGGCCACACAGCCAGCAAGTGGCTCCAGTCTAGCCAGCTCTCACCCCCAGCTCTGGCCCCATCAGATGGCCACACATCCCCAGCCCTTACTTCATCAGAACCAGAACTCGGTCCCCTGACAAGGAATGCAGATATACTCAGTCATCACACACAGCCTGAAATCAGTGTCCTGAGAATAAACAATGACAGCTCACATTACCTTGCTGTGAGAATTCTAATGGGCTGCCACAACACTTCCAGTAAAATCCAGGTTCCTCCGTGAATGTTGAAGGGAATTCTCTGATGTCCCTGGTCACCACACCCTAGGCTCCCTGTGCTCCAGCCACACTGGCCCTTCTGTATGCTCTCCAAACAACAGGAGCTTGTTCTCAGGGCCTGAGAATTTTTCTTTTCTCCCCAATGTCCAAATGACTGCTTTCCTTGAATTTCAGGTCATATATGTCCTCCAAGAGGCCTTCCAGGGTTATACTGTTTTACTTAGCCCCCCACCCATCCACCCACCCAGTCATTATTTCCATCACTCTATTTTCTTTACTGGCTGTATATTGTAACCACTATACAGATTAGCAAACTGAGGCCCAGGGAAGTGAAATAACCTACTCAAAGTCACAAAACTGGAAAATGGTGGCACTGGCATTCTTAAAGTCTACATCCTGCTCCTTTCCATGGATCCATACTTTTTGTCCCACCTCAGAGTCAGCCCAAAGTTTGATCTATGCCACAAGAGTCTAGCCTTCTGCAGACTCCTGTGTCATCCACTCTGCCCCAAACCCCGTCAAAGACAGCAGACATGCGGTCCAAGGAGGTAATGTGCCCCACCTGAAGGCCCCAAAGACTTCTCATCTGAGCCCTGAAAAGAGGTCCCAGAACATGTCCACTGTACCACTGGTGGGCAGAGAATAAGGAACCAAGTTCTTGTGCCCTCCCCTGCCTGCAGAGCTCAGCTGGGCGAGGCCAAAGTGGATATAAAGGGGTTGGTATATATTGAGAGCTAAGAGAAGCAGAAACCACCAGAGGAGAAAGACGGAGGGAGGGAGAGAGAGAGAAGGGTGGTAGTAAGGGTTGGGAGGAAGGCGGTGAGGGAGGCGGGGGCCTCAGAGTGGAAGGAGGGAGCAGAAGGGCGGGGCAAGAGGCCCAAACGAGGACAGACTCCAACTCTGACTTCTTCAGCGACTCTCGGTAAGTTTTCAATCCGTTATTCAGACGGGACTTTATATACTTATATACTGGGCATCACAGCACTGTGGGAGGGGCGCCCTAGGCAGGAAGAAACCCTCCACCCTGCTCCCGAGGACACTAGTAATTGAAGAAGGGGGTCTCTCAGCCTTTATAGTGGGGACACAGGAAGGAGTAGGGCCATCTATAGGATGTGTGGTCCCAAGAGAGCACACCATAGGAAACATCTTGTAGCTTCTCCATGGGGTCTTCCATTCTCTCTTGAGATTAAGGGGTGCAGGAGGGCTCCCAGGCTGAGTTCTCTGGACACTGAGGGTGGTAGGAAGTGTTCTCACCACTCAGACATCCGCCTTCTAATCCATCTCCCCAAGTATCCAGAGCCTTAGGTCTACAGTAGGGTGGGGTGAGGGCCACAGAGACTCAGCCGGGGGCTGGAGTTTCCCTGGTGCTGAAGGGAGGGGGATGAGTCACCCATGACTCACCCCAGGAGAAGAGAGTGAGTCAAGGATGTGTGTCCTCTGGGCAGCTCCTGCTCTTGATGGATTAGAAAGGGGTGTCAATTTAAACTTTCATATGGTGACCCATATAGCCTGGGGAGAAAGCACTGAAGATGCACCAACATATAGTCAGTCCTGTTCATCCATCTCCTAAAGTCCACGTAGGGCTTTCTCTAGGCCGCTCCAGGAGCACAGGAGCCCAGGAGCCCTGGGCTCACCCTCCTACTCCCTGGGGAGGACTGCTCAGCCTACTCTCCTTCTCTCTCACACCCAAGAGCCTTCCCAAGCCCTCCTCCCTCAGACTTAAAAAGCCAGACCCTAGCCCTCCTGCCCAGATTGAGTGCTTCTACCCTTTGCAGGTCTGTCTCTCCTGCTCTGAGCCAGGCATCTGGCAGCCATGTCACTCCTCCTGTTAGTGGTCTCTGCCCTTCACATCCTCATCCTCATCTTGCTTTTTGTGGCCACTTTGGACAAGGTAAGCTTCCAACTCACTGTGAAACCTAGCTACAGCCCATTTCTTAAGCCTCTACCTCCCTACTTCTAAAGCAACGCTTCTCTCTAGCCTTGCCCACCCTTTTAGCCCCTCGGTGCACATCTAGGTGCCTCATCCCCACTCTCCCTGACATTGTCCTTCTCACTCTCCCTGATCTCTGTCCCTCCCAGTCCTGGTGGACTCTCCCCGAGAAGGAGTCCCTAAACCTGTGGTATGACTGCACATGGAACACCACTGCCAAAACGTGGGCCTGCAGTAACGTCAGTGAGAATGGTGAGCATATAGCTGAGGGCAACAGAAGGGCCCCAAATAGGCCGGGACCAGGGTTGGGACCGGAGCCTAGGCTGTGAGCATCTGGGGCTGGCAGAGGCAGCCTGTCTGGATGGAAAGGCCACTGCCTCTGTTCCAATGGATCCAGAAAGGGTGGAGGTCACATGCTGCAGGTTTAAGGAATGGGGAGAAAGCTCCCTAAATTCTGAGAAGATAGGCTTTCCAGAGTTGTAAGGAAATAGAGCTAGTGTTGAGAATATGGAGCCATTCATTGAAGCTGAGGAGAGAAGGAAAGGGCCAGAGTTCTAAGTGACAGCAAGTGAGGGTGGGGATGTAGCTATCAGTGTTTGCATGGTATGTGACCCTAGTTACAGATGCACCCATGAAGCTTGCCTGGCTGAACCAGCAAGTGGAGACGGGGTTGTGGGCTGTAACCTCACCTGTCTTCCCCTACAGGCTGGCTGAAGGCAGTGCAGGTGCTCATGGTGCTCTCTCTCATCCTCTGCTGCCTGTCCTTCATCCTCTTCATGTTCCAGCTCTACACCATGCGGAGAGGAGGGCTCTTCTACGCCACCGGCCTCTGCCAGCTTTGCACCAGTAAGCACTTCCCCAAGATCAAGGGAATGGGGTATACCATGCAAGGCCCTCCCCCAAGGACAGCCTCTGAACCCCAGAGCTAGTGGAGTTGCAGTTCTCAGAGGCTCTGGTAGTCTTGGTACTTTAGTGAGCTAGTGTTTCAGAAGTAGGTTTTGGTAAACAATTTGAGTTCCAGAGATTCAGGCAGCTAAGAAATACCATAAAAGGAATATTCTGAATCATATCAGCCAACTGCTGTTTCTTGTCCACCTGTTCAGGGAGTTTACTTTTTCTCATCACTCAGTATTGTGGATGTAACACAGGGCCTCTGGCATGCTGGACAAGCTATCTCTGAGGTACATGCCCAGCTCTATACTGGTGGATTATGGGCATATGGTCTCAGCCCTCTTTTTAATTTGGAAAAAGGGTCTCACTAAGTCATCTCCACTGGCCTTGAGCTCCCTATGCTCTTGCCTCCACCTCCTGAGTAGCTGAGAGTGTAGGCATGGGCTACCAAGTCATGTTCCACTTTTTTTTAAGATCAAATAATCTGAGGCTTGAAGGGTTTGGGGGATGAAGAGGTCAATGAACACAGGGCTCTATTTTTTCTTTAGTTTTTCTTTGGCTCTCAGTGCAAAGGGCTGAGTTAATCATGGTGGTTTTGGAAACATCTTCCTGGGTTCCCAGAGAAACCCCCTCATGTTACTCACTCATGTTTGCATGTTTGGCTCATGAAAAACTAAAAAAAGAGCCAGGCAGTGGTGGCAAACACCTTTAATCCCAGCACTTGGGAGGCAGAGAGAGGCAGATCTCTGTGACTTTGAGGCCAGCCTGGTCTACACAGCTAGTTCCAGGATGGCCAGGACTACATAGAGAAACCCTGTCTCAAAAAACCAAAACAAACAAACAAACCCTTCAAAAAGAATTCCATGGATGGATAGCTGTCATGGCCTGGTATCACAGATGAGCAGTTGGGCACCAGGAGTGAACAAGGTGGCCAAAGCCACTCCGCAGCAGCTGGGTGCCTGTGGTATCTGGGGGACCTCTGAGGACCCAGGGCAGTGCAGCCTCCCTACACAGCCAGCCTCACACTGCTGTGCTCCTGGTTCCACAGGTGCAGCCGTGTTCTCTGGGGCACTGATCTATGCCATCCATGCTGAGGAGATCCTGGCAAAGCACCCAAGCGGGGGTAGCTTCGGTTACTGCTTCGCCCTGGCCTGGGTGGCTTTCCCACTCGCCCTTGTCAGTGGCAT